CAAAACCTGAAATCTGGAAAAACTGTATCTGTAATCGACTACAAGTCATAATAGTCCACTACATTGAGTCTAAACAGACTCTGTGAAGTCAGAAAATTACTTAGTAGTCGACTACAAGGCATAGCAGTCGACTACACTGTAAACTCACAGATTCTAGAATTTTCTTTTTAGTATTTTGACTGTAACTTTCTCATCCGATATCGGAATGAGGTAATTTAAGATTTGTTGGAAAGGTCTTGAAGAGACCTACAACTTTGATTTTTTGAGTTTTTCCAGATTCTAATTGATAAGGGATATAAATAAAATATTTTAAGACTCGCTTAATATCTATAAACTCTAATGGCTGACATAGGAGATTTCTATTGTTAACCAACACACTAAGCATGTGTTAGTGTGTTCTAACATTATGTGTGTGCATGTGATCAAGGCTTGTACAAATTTCTAAGCAAAGAAAATATAAAATTACATTTTGATAATAAAGTATATCTTCTTCTTTGCTTCATTTTGCCTTGAACTCATCTATGTCTTGAGTATCTCTTTGAATATAATTGTTGATATAGTTCTGATACTGCAAAACAAATATTAACATATAATACACACAACATATAATATTTATTATCATCAAAATAAACTAATCTTGGGGTCAAGATTCCTAACATTAAGTACAAATCAAGAATGAGTGTAATTCACGGGAGTATGATGAGTGTTAGATTTAGATTATATCACAATCATCCACTAGATTATTAACAGTTAAAATTAAAAGTAGCGGTCTCTCACTACTTTTTTATAGTGAAGAGAATCCAAATTAGTTGTATATACACAGTGGTGGATTCACATATAGTTTGGGGGTGTAATTGCATCCCTAAGATTATGTAAAACTATATTCTGTAGTATTTGCGAATTTACAATTTGCCCTCAGTAACTAAGAAGCATTCGCACCCCCACTTGAGTTTTATTAGTCTGTTTAAGCTTAAAATTTAGCCTATTTACAAAGAATATTATTTAATAGTATTATATTTTAATTTTTGAATAAATACATAGTCGTCATCCGTCATTTAAGGGCCTGTTTGGTTGTTTTTTTTAAATCAAAGAAAAATGAAGAAGATGGCAAAAACATCAAATAAATTTTCCTCCAATTTCCTAAAAAAAAATGTAATGAGTGTCCTAAATTGTGGGTCACATCAACCAATAAGAATTTGACACATCATCATTTTTCTTGGTTCCAATATGTGCACCAAACAAAAAAGAAAAATATTATGAAAAACTTACAACAAGTTGTACTTTTTCTCTACTAGATTTTATACACGTGCAATGCACGTGGTTAAATACCATGATTAAGTATTTTTAGATTACTTTCTAACTAAAATTTGTTTATCAGTTCCACTTTAATAGTTTATGCTCACTTTTGTCTCTAAACTTTTATATTGTGATTATTTTTTTTGATGTTTGTTTAAATGGGCTACACCCAATTTAAATTTTCATGTTGATATTTGAATTGATAGAAAACAAATATAATTTAAAGCTAATTTAAATTTTTATATTATTTTGACTGACATGAAACTAAGCTTTAAAACCAATAAATCAAAATGATTGGTTAAATGTATGCTAAAACGATACAAAAAAGAATATAAAGTTTGTTCCTAATCATTGATAGACTTCATAAAAAATTATAGATTAAATATTAATGCTAACTCTAGTATACTTTCATATGATAAAAGCATCTGCACAAGCATATAAAAGTACTAAAAAAGCTCATGAAACTCCCTTCTGAAAATTCCTAATTTCACTCAAAATAATTAAATTATTCTATAAAATATTATCTTTTATTCCTTATATTTTATTTTTTATTGAGCTAAGATCAATCATTCCTCACCTTTATCTTTTTCTCGGGCAATTCTAGAGTAGTGTCTTCATCATCTACTCGATTGTGATATCAGGCTAGAGTTGTATTTTTTTTGTTATCTTTTGTGGGCTTGTTAATCTTTTATCTTGTCATTTAACTTCACAGAGAAGTTAAATGTATTTCCAATGTTTAGCTTAAACTTCTTAAAATACAGACTTTAATTTTTTATTTTAATGAGAATAAATATTAATCTCATATATATGAAATTCTTTGTGTTTTTAATTTATTACTTAAATAAGATTAAGAGTTATTTTTTTTCTCTACAATGAATTCTTCCGATGTGCATCCAATAAGAGTTTCAGTTACGTCAATAATATTATATTTGCTCTATCACTATTATTTTCCATAAAGATCTAAACTAAATACCTATATTTTTTATTACTAAATTTTCTTAGATTATAATATTAATATTTAATTTCTTTAGTGTTTGAAGAACAAAGTATAAAATTTATGAATGTTTACTAATTTTTCTTATATCTTCCATAGAAAATTCTTCTTTGATTGGGATAAAGTTATTAAATTATTCTTCAATGTAACTCAGTTGGTGCTTCTTTAATAGACATGTCATATGTTAATACCAATTCAAATGATTTATGGATGTTTTCTGAATTTTAGATTTATTTTCATCACTTTCCCATTTGTAATGGAAATAGCTTGATTCTTTTGAAGGATATCTTTGAACATTCTGATAGTTTCTCCATATATAATTTATTGTATTTTTTACCTTATTAATATTATTAACATCAGAGATCAATGTTTTTAAATTATAATTAATCAATGCTAAGCTATTATATTATAGTCTTTTATCATTTTTATGGATTTAAACATCTATCAATTAATGTTACTAATGTGTTTTGCTGGTCCAACTTATTAATACAATTTTATGCTGTTGCTTTAATTTATATGATAACAATAATTTTTAAGCTATAATATTTTTTTAAAATTTTATTCCCTAACCAGATATTTTTAATCAATTCCTATTGCTTTTGTTTACTAGTATAAACTTAGACTATCTTTAGATGCTAAAAATGGATAGTAAACCCTAAATTGAAAATTATATATATATATATATATATATATATATATATATCTTAAATAAAAAAAATACCTAACAATTACACTTTTCTTTGTCAAGTTTTAAAATTTCAGCTTTTTTGTGGTTTTGAACTTTGAGGGTGTGATTTATAATTTTTAAAATTTTAGGAGTATTTTAAAAAAAATTACTTTTAAGTTTGGTAGTTGTAACTTCTATGTTTCATATGTCGGTGGTAATTTTTAAATGTCACGATATTTCTTACAACTCTAAAATTTTGAGGTTGCTTTTTTTAATTGTTAAAACTGTAGATTAATTTTAAAAAAATTCAAATTTTAGTGGTCTACCAATAGTTTTTAGATTTGATGTGTACTGGTTATAAATTTTAAAATTTTAGAGTTTTTTTTATGATTTTTAAAATTTTAAAGAGTTTTTTCTACAACTTTTGTAACTTTAAGATTAATTTCGATAAATTTTAAATTTTTAGGTGCATGAGGGTAATCTCTTGAATTCATCTTTTCTTGTTTGCAAATTTTAGAATTTTTAAAATGTTAGGGTTGTTTTTTAATAATTTGAACTTTTGAGGATATTTCTATAATTTTTGGGACATTGAGGGTGTTAATTAAAAAATTTAAATTCTTTGGAGGCTGCTGTTAATTTCTTGATTTCATATTTGTTGTTTTAAGTTTTGAAATGTCAGAAATTTTCATGCATTATGGTAATCCCTTGAATTCATACATGATGTTTGCAAGTTTTAAAATTTTAGAATTTTATGTGCTTGTTTGTAATTTGAACTTTTGAGGGTGTTTCTATAATTTTTGAGATATTGAGATGTTAACCGCAAATTTTAAATTCTTCGTAAACTAGTGCTAATTTCTTGTTTTCATGTTTGTTGTTTTAAGTTTTTAGACGTCGGGATAGTTTTTATAATTTTAAACTTTTCAGGGCATTTTGTGCAATTTTAAAACTTTTAGATTTTTTGCAATACTTTATGTATTATAGTACGTTAGTTACATATAGTTTCTTTATCTTAACAAACTAATACCATGGAGATTATTTTTTTAATTGTTAAGCTATAGAAAGTTCACGTATGATTAGGATAAGATATAATTATGATAGATTAGTATATAAATAAAATATTTAAAATAGTAAAGAGTAATATTGAACATATAAAGATTTTTCCGAGATCGTGTTTTTAAAAGGAATATGATTTTCTTTCATTTTTCCTTTATTTTCCATAATTTTTGGGCAAACCAAACAACCCCTGATACAGTTTTTATGTAACCCATGGCAGCAAGCATGGCTTCTGCCGCATTCGCTCGTACGCACAATCAATACGGATGGGTGACGTAGACACCACAAAGGATTCGGAGGCAAATAATTTTTTGAAAACGGCGTTCAAAACACAAGTATTTTCATCCACACACGTAGCAAGCTGATCACGCTCCACCTGACACAGCCCCAAGGTTGAATGAAAAACCATATTACGTCATAAAATAGTTTTAGGTTTTTCCGATATTAGTCATGTCGTCTTTCATATTTTCAAATCAGCCCCTAAAATCATTAAAGTTGCTACCAGATCCCCAACTAAAAGTTATTTTAAATATAGCCCTTACAATCGTTGAAATCACTATTAGGGCATCCAATTCTTAAATCATTTTAAATTAGTCCCTCAAATCATTGAAATTGGTATCAAATTAGTCCTCAAATGACTTGAGGGACTAATTCCAAAAAATATTGAAGGTTATAGGACTAATATCTAAGAAAACTAAAAACTTTCATGACGTCAATTATCAAATTTGATCGGCAGATTTTTGTTTTAAAGTAGTCAAATTTTTACTCACCCAAGATGATGATTTGTTGGTTTTAAGGGCCTTTTTACGAAATTGATTTGGGCGACGATTTTGTAAATGTTGGGAGTACTTTCCGACTACCTAGACGTAAGGGGTATTTACGCAAATAACCCTTTTTCTTTTTAACGTCACAAATTTGAGGAAAAAAAAAATCACGCCTTGGCTGCGTCTCGCTTCTTTTTTCCCCAAATAAAAATCACTGCGCTGAGCATCCCCATCGTCCTTCTCTTTTACAATTAATAATTCCGCCATTAATTTTCCGCCTGCCAACAAACGCCGAAGTCAAAGCTTCCATCGTCCGTCTCTTCCTTTTTGAGAGATTCTTTATAATAATCGCCAGCAGAAAATGACTTCTGTCGACCAATTCTCTCTCCTTGGCTTGCTTGAATTAGTCAAGGGAATCATCCGACAAAGGCGACTTCTTGCTTCCTTTTTCTCCCTCAATCTCCACTCTTCTTGGCTTTTTCTAGGGTTTTGGAGCTGCTTGTTTGGGTTTAAGCTCGAAAGTTGACGGCGATATCTCAGGTACTTTGTTTTCGGATTTATTGGGTTCGCAATTTCAAAATTTTAAAGTCAGTCGTGCTTGATTCCGATGAACAAACTTTAAAAATTTTGAGGTGCGTGGCCAGATTCAAGGATGTTGTGGTGAGAAAAGGAAAATTATTTCTTGGGTAACTGAGTAGAGCACATGTGTTGCATTGGAATCTGTAGAATGAAGATTTTGGGAATTTTCGTAAAATATTTTCCTTTTTACATATTGAGAATTGTAGGGTTAGACAACGTTCTTTATTTCAACCGAGGACGATGGAAGTGCTAACTGAGTGGATCATTTGCTCTTCTTATGTGTTCATGTTGTTATTTATGAGACTATCTATTTCATTTTAAAATTGTACTAAAAGGGAAAAACTATAGTTTTGAGGTTTCTTTTAAACTAGCTTCAGTTTCAATGCAATGGAGCTTACTTTGAACCTGAGCACACATTTCCTTTTGTCATATTGTAATTTTCACTAACAAGCGTGTATTTGGAAATGTAGGATTTTTAAGGCAGGAGACGGATTCTTATCGTCAAAGAGCTGGTGGTGGCAGATGTTAATTGATATTTTCTTTTGATATAGGGGTTAACAATGTCCCGACCTGAACTGCTCATATTCGGGGCGATTCTAGCCTGCTCTTTTTGCCTGTCTTTGCAGCCTGCTGAAGCACAGATCACTTACCCGTCAGAAGGTAAATTCATTGGATACTAGCTGACTAGAGTATCACACTATTGCTGGTAGATTTTTTCTTAAGCTTTTTATTTATTTATCATCCGATTTTATTTGATTAAGACATGCTATAGCTGATTATTTAATGCTAGAGACCATATAATTATTTTGGAGATTGAGTGGTGCACATCTTGCTCTTAGCATATATTTAACATTAATTGCTCCTAAAAAATGTCTTCCCTAGGAAGCTCAAAGAATCCTATTTGTTATAATACAAAACTATAACAATCAACCCTCTTCACAACTTTAGAGTCTTGGTGCAGTGGCAGAGGGTTTAAGATGGTAGCGGAGCAACCGAGGTTCAAATCCCATTGGCCACGAATTTAATGCGGATTTAAAAAAAAAAATACTATACCGCTGCACGAGTCCAATTTTCAGTGCATAAGAAGGGTCCTCATCCTGCAGGGGCATGTTAAAAAGTAGAATATAAAACTGTAACCCGACTTTAAGACTACTCAGTGCTCATGTTGAAACTTGAATTCTACATTCCTCTAACTTAGTATGGGTTGTTTGGAAATTTTAATGCTTTGAAATTTCCAAGAAACTTACCAAGAGGGACTTGATTTTTTTTTCGACTATCCATGTTCGTCTCATTTTTCTTCACATTTGCTACTATTTCACAAATTATCTACTCCATTATAACTATTTTCTATTTAGCAACTTGCTGTATTTGCTACTTAAACCCAGATCTATAAAACTGCTCATTTTACAAATAATTCATATTTCTCTTCAAACTCTTAGATTGATACTTATTCTGAATTCCGAATAAGTCATTAAGAGACCTATGTGTTATTCCTCACGACAAAAAAGTGAAAATTAAAAACTCTATGGGATGACACATGCATGGATGCTCAGTTGCTTACCCTGTGAACCTGGATTAATCATGCGTGAGTGCTTTGTGAATTTACAGGATAATGCACTTTTTTGACTAGACAAGTGAATGTGAAATGATGCAGAGAGAAATAGTTGGTTTTTGCGATGATAGTTTCCTTTGTAATGAAATTTCTTTAATGTTTGTGTTTGTGCACGCGGGGGTGCTGTGAATGAGCTACAAATAGATGGTCATGTGGTGAGGCCCACCTTGCTAGTCACATTGGAATGGGTGGGTATCACCACCCTCTATCCCTTGGAACAAAATGAATCACCACCACATGAGCATCTAGCCATATATATTATTTAATATTGTATATATATGGGTTGCCTGTTATTCTCACAGGAACAAGATAAACAAGCGTATACCTATCTCTATGAGCTATTTTCAGATATTCCTATTTATTTTAGAAGAAAGTAAAAAAGAAAATCCTTCAATTTTGCATGGCTTGTCATTTAGACCTTTGAGTAAAGAAAAAACAGTGAGACATGTTATAGGAAACAATGACTTGAGGTTTTTATGTGAATGAGAACATTTGACGTTTTCACCCACGCAAGAACATTGACATTTTCCCCAATGCAACAACAATGAACTGACAATTTTATATAATTACATATAAAATTATAACCTCAACCTTCACCACAACTTTGAAGTTTTGGTGTAGTGGTAGGATCCTTTGACATGGTAGAGGAGCACTCCAGGTTCCGATCCCACTGACCATGAATTTATAGCTGACTTTTAAAAAAGGATACCGCCGTGTGAGTTCAGGTTTCAACCCGTAACAAGAGCGCTCAATCTGTGGAGGCATATTAGATATAAAATTATAACCCTCATCCTAACCACTAACCCTCATCCTAACCACAACCACAATTTTTGAGTGGTGCAGTGGAAGGGTCCTTTAACATTATGTATGTCATAAGTCACAAGTTATTTTAGGTTGATGGGTATATGATATTAATAATTTTCTTATTTGGCCATGCAGTTGATGCTTTGAGGGCTATCAGGAGCAGTTTGATTGATCCCCTTGATAAGCTGAAGTCCTGGAACCACGGTGATCCCTGCGCGTCAAACTGGACGGGGATTAATTGCTATAATTCTACATTCCCTGATGGATACCTGCATGTACAAGAATTGTGAGATTTACAAATTGAAATTTTCTTCCACGTGCAGCTTTGTTGTTATCCATAGCGATTATTTCCTACATCAATGACAACAACATTATTGTTTCTGTTGGTGTAGTTCTGAAAATTTTTCTGCACACATTAGTCAATTGATACTTGATGAGCATCATCATTATTATTTTTGCACACTTTATGCCATATTACATGCTTGAATGTGTAATGCTGAAGATTTACTATATCTTTGCGTATTAGTTGTTTATGTCTAACGTGTTCCACCTGCTAAAAGGTAATGCTATACGATATCTCATATGACTGCGGGATTGTGTGGGTCTTATTCCCAGATCTAGCTACAGCAGGGGACACAACAGGCTAGTGCATATGATTATTCATTTTCAATTTTCCTCTCAACCCATATATATCCATACCTCTATTCTGGGTGCTATAGGCAAATTTCTATGGTGCAATATCCACATCTTCATCTTCATTCTTTGTGAAGCTGCTATTAAATAGTCAGTCTGTATAAGAGAGTTATTAATGTTGATTATCATCTTCATCTCCTAAGGGCATGACTAATGAGGAACCGTTCCATTTATAGCCATGCTACAACTGTGCCTCTTGGGCTCCCTTCCCTCCCTCACCTTCCCGTTTTGCTGCTCCCTTCTAAGTCATTGTTTGATCAGCGAGCTACTTTTGATTTACTTTTCTGCATGCTGATAAATTTGGCTTTATCATTCCCCAATTTTGCATATAAAATTGGAGTATAAAACTAAGAAGATGCACAATCTACTTTCGTAAACTACTGTTAGTTCTTATATATTAAGTTCAGGTACAAGTTAAACAGATGAATTAGTTAATCCACCCTGAATTTGAGTCTAAAAGTTATGATGTTAGAATTTGAAAGTGGATGGTTGGATCTAGCTGGTTCCTACAATTTTAATGGGTCAAAAGGAACATCTTTTAGGATCCTAACTGTCCACTCCTTTATGCCACTACTATCTTATATTTAATCTAGTAAAATCATCATCATGTCATAATTTAAGCAGTTCACATCTAACTGCGATGGGCTTTTAAGCACAATATCATATGAGAACACTTAACTAGTTGACAAAATTCTACAAGTGATATTATCCTTATATCAACTTCTTGTTGACAAGTTGACACTTCTCAGCATTCTTCAAGTGATACAATCCTTACATCAACTTCATGCTATTTCCATATTCCTTACCAATGTTTTAAATGACAGCCGCCATGACATGTCAGATTCAGGGTCGGTTCTGAGATTTTAGGGGCGCTGTGCGAAAAGTAAACACATGCCATTCTCTATATACAAAATACCAATAAATTCCAATTTGAATCCCCAAAATACTAGGAAACAAAATGTTACTGATCAGACATTAAAATGTTACCTGATTCTTTTACTTCTGGATAGTCTTTAACATACTTTTCAGATGCTATTGCTCATTCTTCATCTCTTTGGTCACCTGAATAAAATATTACTGATCAGATAAATACATGTAATCCTACCTTAATAAAGCTTTCCAATAGAGCAAATAGTCAACAATAAGAAATACTTGCATATTATGTTCCTCTTGTATCTGTGCTTACATTCATAAGAGATATCGAAGCCTTTAGCATCAAAAAGTATCATCGAAAAATTGTCCTCCTTGTATTTTTAGCTGCAAAATCACTAATTATGCCTTTAAATTGCAAAGTCAGAGTCAATTGTGAATAAGGTGAATTCATGTGTACCTCCTATGATTCTGATATAAGTTATCAAGCTGATAGTACACATAAATAGGAGCATCCATATCCTTCTCCACCTACAAGAAATATATAACTCATACTTCAGTAAGGCACTTTCATGCGAGCGTTTCGTAGGCACTTAGCACATTGCTCTTGACTTGGACATAAGAAAAATGGTAATAACAACCACAATTCATGTCAAAGGTGACAAAGCAATTACAAACTAGAAGTTGTGTCAATAATTTCATGACTGCTATGAGAATACATTGTGAGAAGCGAACAGTGAGGCGATGCCAATGGGGATGAAAATAGTGCCAATTATTACAAACACTGAAATCACCTGTAGAACATGGAGATCACATTGTTAAGTAGCTAGCTTGGTCATTTCTGAGTTAATATTTATAACCAACAATTAGTGAAACATACCCATTGGGGAGTGAGAATAGGCTTGCAATCTGGAAGCTCCTGTTGAGTAAACTTCGAATCTGAAAGGCAAAGGCAGAGCAAAGAGCACATTTATTAACTTAGTTCCACCCAAGTATATAATCCATTGTTCATTGAGACCACAAGCTAAACCAGAAAATAAATTCAAAAAATCAGTAAGTTATCTAAGGGAAAATAGGCTTAAGCAGAGGATCCTCACTAACAACAAAAGCATACAGATCAAAAACCCTAACACAAACCAACCGAACAATATCCAATTCAACAAACCATAGCCCAAAATCTCAATCTCAAACTAACTAACAATCAACAAAACTAAAAGACACCCATTAAAATTAAACACATAAATATCAAAATCCCCAACAAAAACTCACACTTTGGCCTCTTATTCTTCCTCTGAGCCATCGCATCCCCCGATCCAGAGCTCGAACCAGCTGCCATCGACGTCGAATTGTTCATCATCCCTCAAAAATTTCCAAAAAAAATCAAGTAATTACGCCAAAAATCGATCTGCGATTGGGGAGGGTGGAGGAGATCTGCGATTGGGGAGGGCGGCGAGGTCTGGCGACGACGGCGATCGCGGGGGTCTGCGGGCGGGAGAGAGGAGGAGATGGAGGAGAGGGGGTGGGTGGATTTTGGGGGCTAAGTTCTGGGACTGAGAGTTGAAGGGATTTTAGAAGGGATTTCAGGGTGTTTGAGTTTGAATGGACGGCCGAGATCCAATTGAGAATTAGTAATGGACGGTAGATGGGATTTGTTTAGGGCCCCCAATTTTAGGGGGCCTTGTGAGGTCGATCCTCTTGCACACCTTCAGAGCCGGCTCTGATTGGATTGGATA